TATCTCCAAAAGTGGTAGTCTATCTCCAAATGTGGTAGTCTATCTCCAAATGTGGTAGTCTATCTCCAAATGTGTGGTAGTCTATCTCCAAAAGTGGTAGTCTATCTCCAAAAGTGGTAGTCTATCTCCAAATGTGGTAGTCTATCTCCAAATGTGGTAGTCTATCTCCANGTTTATGAGCGCACCAGGTCTTTTCCATTCCAGAAAGAAGGATGCAGTTGGAAAATCATTGTTGAATTCAGTGTCAAAAATATATATTGATATCTCCAAAAGTGGTAGTCTATCTCCAAAAGTGGTAGTCTATCTCCAAATGTGGTAGTCTATCTCCAAATGTGGTTGTCACAAGAAACTTGGATTACATGGAAATACCCCATGCCGTTTGACATGCCTTCATTTTTTTCTTCGTCATTTCCCCTAGGGCATTTAACTTTGAGGACCTGCGTGTAGATGAAGCCCTGAGGATGTACCTAGAAGCGTTTCGCCTGCCCGGCGAGGCCCCAGTCATCTCCTACCTCATCGAACACTTCTCCGACCATTGGCATGTGTGTACAACCCATGACTCATTGTCAGTCCAATCAATTTGGTCCCCAGACAATAAATAAATACTGTATAATCCTATAGCTAGATAGCTAGGTCTTAAAATATTGAAGTTACATGTTATTAATTTACTGATTATGAGAACAACAAAAAACCCATATAATCCTTATAAAGGCCTTAAGATGTTTAAGTCAGATGTTATTGATTTGCTGCATGTACTTAAAAAGTTTAAAGGAAATTTAGATTTAAAATAATTTTTGAATTACCATAAAAAAAATTAAAGGTAATAATTACTTGTCTTTTGACAATAATTAAAAATATATATATATATAAGCAACCCAAAAACTTCCCTAATAAGCAAACTTCAATTGACATGGTTTGGAACCTGTTTTTTTATTGTTTCAGAAAAGCAATGCAGAACCGTTCGTCAACGTTGATGCTGCTTTCACACTCACGTATGCTGTGATAATGTTGAATGTCGACCAACACAACCACAACGCTAAAAAACAGAACGTACCCATGACTGTCGAGGTATGCTGCAAACAACAGAGAGACCAGATATGATGTACAACATTTGATATAGCGCCCTATCTAGCTAACATAAGCCACTCTAAAGCACTTTACAGTACATAGATATTTAATCAATACAATTAACATATACATTAATCAATATGATGTTTTAGGAATTCGCAGGAGCTGTCTTATCAGGCACTAACTACTAGTCCTATGCCACCTGGCTAATATCTCCCTATGTGTGTATGCCTGCGTGTGTGCTGGAGATGTAATGTGTGCCGTTTATAGTGGGACCGTGCTTCCAACGGCATCATTTATAGTGCCACCTCACTTGAATGCTACAGCACAGATACTGCAACATCCACCCCAGACCATTTTATACGCCATGGGTTGTTGGAGTTGTTATAGATGTATTGGTCTGTTTATATTTCTGCAAATATTAAGTTCCATCATTATAGTAGTTAGTTACAGTGGTTTTTAATGTTGTTATTCAAGTGTTTACATTCTCACCGGTTCTGTGTATTATAGTTGGTGTTTGTATTATTGTCCTCAGCAATTCAAAAAGAACTTAAAAGACTGTAATGGTGGAATGGAATTTGACCAGGACATGTTGGAGGAGATCTATAACGCAATCAAGTAAGTGTTGTATAAGTGGGGCTCGGCTTCCCTGATGAGTAATATGACAATTTAATGGAAAATATCTGCTGGTATGTTTTCAAAATAATTGGAATTCAAAATGCAAAATATACATCTCGTTACAAAGAGGAAAAAAGAAGGTGCTAGTAGATGCTACACAGTACAGTCACTTAAGAAATTGGTGTTTTAGTCATATATATCCACACATCAATTTGTTAAAATTTAAAAGTTTTTTTTCAAAATTGTTGATGTATGATGTATTTTGGTATATGATGGGAGGGGAAGGGGGGGGGGGGGGAAATTTNTAAGGTAGCATATATCCTTAACTCTAACATAAATCACAGGCATATTGTGTAAGGTAGCATATATCCTTAACTCTAACATAAATCACAGGTATTATGTGTAAGGTAGCATATATCCTTAACTCTAATACAAATCACAGGCATATTGTGTAAGCTAGCATGTTACCTTAACTCTAATACAAATCACAGGCATATTGTGTAAGGTAGCATATATCCTTAACTCTAACATAAATCACAGGTATTATGTGTAAGGTAGCATATAGCCTTAACTCTAACACAAATCACAGGTATTATGTGTAAGGTAGCGTATATCCATAACCCCTTACACAAATCACAGGAATTTTGTGTATTAAAGGTAGTGTGTATCTTTGAAGTGTCAGGTGATCAGTGGTTTTGTATCATGGAAGATAAACTTTTTTCAAATACAAAATCTTATTTTCAGAAATGACGAAATTGTGATGCCATCAGAACACATAGGTCTAGTTAAGGAGAATTATCTTTGGAAGGTGAGTAAAGGCGTCATTGCAATTGTCAAGTCTGATTTAACGAAATTGGAAATTTCAGCGATAAACCTATTCCATCGCCTGTTTTGGTTCTTATAGAATTTCATGTAATGATATAGCAAAAATTTAAAGATAGATGGAATCTTATAAAACTGAAATTGTTTTGAAATTAAAGTGTATGCTATGTAGGTAAAGCAATGTTAGTTAAATAAATCTCATTAAGTGATTTTTTTTTTTTTATATATATATAACATTGTATATTGTTTCACTTTGAAAAAATGTATTTTCAGGCTTCAAACTCAGTTTTTGAGTTCTATTTGACTGAATTAACACTATTAAATTTGAAATTACCTTTTCAGTTTATTGCTATATTAAGGCATGTTTAACCCTTTCACCCCTAGGTAACTTTAGTAGGTTCAACCATACATTGATCTGGATGAGTCCATTATGGTTAACAGTTGTGGTGAAAGGGTTAAGGGTATCTTAATGTTGCTTACCGGTAGTAATATGCTAATGTATTCGTTCTGTCTTTGTTAGGTACTTCTTCGTCGGGGTACAACGAAGGATGGGATGTTTGTTCATGTGCCTTCGGGAGCCTTCGACCATGACCTGTTCTCCCTCATATGGGGCCCCACTGTGGCAGCCCTGTCTTTCGTGTTTGACAAGAGTGGGGATGAGACAATTATACAGAAAGCCATCGCAGGATTTAGGTATGTGACTAAATTGGTATCTATAGATTGAGGACATTAGACAGACTATCAAGTTTACCTCGTGGCGAAACCAACCAGTGATATATCTAGCTACTCATGAATTCTTATCCAAAAATATGTCTTGAAATTGTATCATTTTCCCTGTCACATAATAGTAGCATCATAAAAAGTATGAAGAGAAGAATACCATATTTATTCTGCAATAAGCCCAGGGGCCAACAGCCCAACACATTATCTCAAACTCAAAGAAGGTGTTAGGTCTTATTAGAGGACAATAGAAATCCATTTGTTGGCTTTTCTACTGAACTGCAGTAAAAAATGAGTGTGCTTATTACCAGTCATGGGCTTATTGGCAGGTAAATATAGTGATTACTAGATATTGATGTGAAAAAAGGAAGTGATTGATGCAAGATATTAGCAGGTTGTATTAAAATTCAATTAAAAAATTCCTCAATTTTGAAAGTTTACATATTAACATTTGAAGATAAAAATATGATTAAATAATGTACTATTTGGAATTCTCTTTTTTTTAAGAACGGTTATGGATAAAATGGAGAGCTATCTACTAGGCTGAGCAGTGGAAAAACACAATTGCTTCAAACAAAGACAACTTGAGTTTGATTGCATTGTTGGATGTAAAATTGTATTGGGTGATCAACTGCCCAACCATGTGGGTTTTCCCTCCTAATTTTGGACCCCTGCACACTTTCACTTCAGTCTTTTTCATTGGCATTGCAAGTGTTATATGGGACTGCTGTATCTCTAACTTTATTGCATTGATTTTATTATCATTCAATCAATTGAGCATTATGAACTTCACATGATCGCTAATTGTGTTGTCATTATTTTCAGGAAATGTGCCATGATTTCCGCACACTACGGAATGAGTGATGTGTTTGATAATCTAGTCATATCTCTGTGCAAATTCACAACGCTTCTCAGCTCAGTAGAGGTACGTAAACACATGATTGGTGTCTTAAATTCGAAAAATGAAAATTGATGTTATGATTTATGTGGAGTTATGTACACCAGATCATGGTCACAGAAAAGTTTTACAAAAAATGTTTCCTGCCTTTCCCAAATGAGGTATATTGAATCAAGCATTAGATTCATACACTGTTCTCATCATTTTGATTTTTTTCAAATTTGTAGCTCAGAAGTTAAAAGATATGAAACTGTTAAAGTGTGCTTTTTCCACCCTTTCAGAGCCCGGAGAATTTGCCAATTGTGTTCGGGGGCAACCTCAAGGCCCAACTGGCTGCCAGGACAGTGTTTGGTCTGGCCCATCGTCATGGTGATATCCTACGCGAGGGTTGGAAAAACATTATGGACTGCATGCTACAGTTGTACCGTGCCAAACTTTTACCCAAGGGTCTTATAGAGGTAGGTCAAACAAAGGATTTTATTCTTGAGAGAGAAACAATATTTCAAGAGGAGTTGGATTCCATGTGTATTTTGTATACAATTTATTTGATTGTACAAAGACGATCTGTGATTGTCTGAAACTAAATTTGCAGAAATTAAAAAGCATAAATTTCCTATTTAGATATTCAACATTATCATGTTTTTGATTTGCTGATATAAATATCAAAATATATTAAGATTACAGTTTCATCCTTTAGGCCATTGCAGAATTAATCTTAAGGGGGTTGGTTGCAGGTGAAAAATAACTTTCAGGGGCCCCAACATACATCAAATATTCAGCAGGAATTCTTTTATATTTGAAGTAGCTTCCAACCCATCAGTTTGGTTGATTCTTGGATAATCTTAAGATAAAAGATATTTTCCTATGCAGAAAATCAGTCATTAGTTTTGACCGATGGAAAAGTGACTTCATTCTCATAACAAAGATGTCCAAATATTTGTTCAAACTAATGGCTTGGTTTATTTGTTCAGGTTGAAGATTTTGTGGACTCCTCAGGGAAAATCAGTATAATCAAGGAAGAAGCTGCAACGAACCAAAGGTAGTTATATCACTTTAACAGACCTTAGCTTTCCATTTGAAGCATCTTCGGGTTTTAATGTAATGGAACTATTGTTAATCTTAATGTATCAAGAGAAGAAAAGCAAGATATCTCCAAATAAATGAAAAAAACATTCTAAAATAAAATTAGGTCTTAAATATCAACTAAATAGACAGCACTTTTTAGCTCACCTGCCCGAAGGGCAAGTGAGCTTACATTATGGTGCGGCATCCGTCGTCTGTCCGTCCGTCGTCCGTCGTCTGTCGTCCGTCTTCCATCGTCCATCGTCCGTCTGTCCGTCGTCAACTTTGTGCTTTAAACAACTTCTTCTCAATAAACAAAAGGCCTAGGAAGATGATATTTGGCCAGTAGCATGCTGGGATCAAGGGCTACCAAGTTTGTTCAAATAAATGACCTTGACCCACTTTCAAGGTCACAGGGGTCAAATATGTTAAAATCTTCAAACAACTTCTTCTCAATAACCAAAAGGCCCAGGGTACTGATATTGGGCCTGTAGCATGCTGGGATGAAGGGCTACCAAGTTT